GGTTGGAGGGGGGAGAGAGAGAGAGAGAGAGAGAGAGAGAGAGAGAGAGAGAGAGAGAGACAGAGAGAGACAGAGAGAGACACACAGAGACAGATAGAGACAGAGACAGAGAGACGGGGGAGAGAGAGAGACAGACAGACAGAGAGAGAGACAGAGAGAGACAGGGAGAGAGAGACAGGGAGAGAGAGACAGGGAGAGAGACAGACAGACAGACAGAGAGAGAGACAGAGACAGAGACAGATAGACAGACAGATAGAGAGAAAGAGAGAGAGAAACCCTGGCAAGCTTTGATTCTCTGGAGAGGGAGAAAAAGGAGCCCATGGTTGTCCCCCCTGGCCTGTCACTTGGAACCCTCTGGAGGCTGCATGGGGGCTGCTGCTTACCTGGAAGTACAGAAAGCCTCCTCCAGGGATTCTGACATTTTGAAAGTAGCCAAGAGGCTCTGGGTCCCGGGATAAGCAACTGCTGGGTCAGGAGGGGGGATTGTCTGTTGAGAGCTTGGGGAGCGGGAGGGCAGCCCACTGGGGGGCAGGAGGGCAGTTTCGGAGTGGAAACACCACCTCCCCTGGGCCAGGCCTCCGCAGCTGTCCCCATTAGGCGCTGCACCAATGTTTAATTAGCCTCTGGGAGTTGGGCTCTGTCCCCAGGCAGGCCGAGGTTCTACCCCATCTTCCTCCAGAGAGCAAATTAAATAGCAGGGAAACTCGGGCTTAAGAAGAGGAGGAGCCGAAAGGGGCCTACTGAAACCCCTCCATTTTGCATGGAGGGTGCACAGCGAGAAAAAATGTAGTAATCAGCGGCAGCCTCTCCTTTTAGTATGCTGCCTTTCTCTGTTTCCTAGGCAAACTCCTACTTAATCTTCAAAACCCAGTCCAATGTCACCTCTTGGTAAACGCTCCCTTCAGCCTGTTAAGGTATTTATTCACAGCATCTCTCTCTCTGTCTCTCTCTGTCTGTCTCTGTCTCTGTCTCTCTTTCTGTCATCCAACACAATGTCTGCTCACGTGTAGGTTTTGGGACAAAGTTCAGCGATGGCTGACATGACTCGCTACTCCTTCAGGGAGCCAACGGTCTGCAGTGTCGGGAAGTTCTTTCTTGGGTCTACCTGCGTTCAGCTTGCTGCATCTGGGGCCGCGGGCCTGGGCGAGTGTGAAAGTGCTGCTGCTGCTCCTCCCTGCCTGAGTCAGGGCCGCAGGCGGTGGCCGGGTCGCTATCTGTGTGACAATGATCAGTGCCAAGGCCCCACGGGTTCTTTGTAAAGCAGAGAATGTGGGTTACAACCGGGAGGAAGGAAGCTGGCTCCAGGAGCTCCAGGTAGCATGATATGAGCGGGCAGTGGAGAGGCTAAGTATAGGAGTGGGTTTTCTTTTCAGAGTGGAATAGGGACACTGTGTTTTCCACTTTGCTCAGCTCAGGAGCAATTCTGAGGCCTGTGGCTGTGGAGGCATCTAGCAGGATAACAGAGCAGATTTCTTAGCTCTGGAGTTAGGCCTGCCAGGCTTGGGTACTGCCTTCTTTCAGCTTTATCCCTGAGAGGCCTTTAGAAAATCAAAGCACAGACAGTACAGCTAGGAAGACCTCGAAGCCCCTGGCTTTGAGGGCTCTGGGGTCACGACCTACACGGGGAATGGAAAGCCTTGCTGCAGTCTCTGCTGGAGGCCTCAGGCTGAGATTCCTTGCTCAGCTCCCTGGACCCGTGCAGGACTCAGTCTCCCTCCATTTCCCAAGACCTTTGAAGTCTGTGCCTTCTTCTCCAAGGAAATGGGATTTCCATCTTAGAGGAGGTCCCTGGGCACGTCCCTAACCCTCCCTGGCCCTTCATTGCCAAGCTTACAAAGAGAGCAGGGATTCTGCTGGAATCTCTGCTGTCCTTAATACTGAGCTCAATATACAGATGTTGCTGTTAAGAATCCTGGTCTTGGGGCTGGGGAGATGGCTCAATCCCCACTTCCGCCAAAAAAAAACAAAAAACAAAAAACAAAAAACAAAAAAAAACAAAAAAAAAAAAAACAAAACAAAAACAAAAACAGGAATCCCGGTCTTTAGAACTGGGGATTAAACCCAGGGCTCCATGCCTGTAGGAAAGCACTCTACCAATCCCAGCCTCCTCTTCCTCCTCATCCTGTTCTTCCTCTTCCCCTTCCCCTTCCCCTTCCCCTTCCCCTCCTCCTTCTTCTTCCTCTTCTCCTTCATTTTAAGACAGAGTCTCCCACAGTTGCTCAGGATGACCTTGAACTTGGGTTACTCCTGCCTCAGCCTCCCAAGTCGCTAGGATTATAGGTGTGTGTCACCATACTTGGTGCAGACTGACACTCTTTAAACAAGGTGCATGGCATGAAAGAAAGTGACCACAGTTCTGCATTGGATTCCAGCTTCTTTCTGGTCTCCTCCAGCTTCATTCCATACCCAGAATTCAAAGGTTACTGCTGAGCGGGAATTATAAAGCCTGATAGGTGGAGGTAACGTGGAAGTCAGAGGAATCAGCTAAGTGCCAGGGTAGTTTCAAAAGCAGAGAATTTTGAGTTGAAGTTTGAGGGACAGAGCCCTTGCCTCGCATGTGTAAAGCCCTGGGTTCTATTCCTACCCCTGCCAGAACTCAAACAGACAAACAAGTCACCATATTAAACATAGAAGAATATTCTTCATTTTGTCACACACACACACACACACACACACACACACACACACTCTATTTCTCATTTTTTTCCCCTTTGGTATAAGGATCTCTTGCTCCATTTTACCTGTTGCTTATAATAAAGCCATGGATTAAAATAAGGTTTAAATTCTATCCTATTATAAGAAAACCGACAACACTAATGACGTAGTAAATGACAATGAACACTTGGTCTCAATGACAGGGCGACAACAGGCAGCAAACTGAGGACTCCTGCCCTATCTAGGGAGGACACCTCCTAGAACATGCCCCAAATATGGATTTGATGCAGCAGATTTTGCATGTTTTAAAGAAAAGCTGTACGTATCTTTTTGTGAACCATTTAAAAATGGCAATAAAGTAACCTACTGTATAACCCTGACCTATGGTATCTATAGCTGGGATCTCCACCAAGCTCTTTCTATCCTTCTTTGTCTTGGGAGCTGTCACAGTTGACACATTGTGTCAACTTAAGAAGCTTAGACACCTGAAGGGCCCTTGCCAGTGTCCTCACTTTGTAAACATCCTCATCCTGTGCAAGCGGAGGGCAGGGAGACCCCCACGAGGCTGCACCTGCGGCCTGCTTATAATACAGGGAAGCAAAAGAGGCTTGTTTCCCTTGCATTTTGTTCTTGTTGCTTTTGCTGTCCTTCTGCCTTGCCACCCTGCCTTGGACCCTGCTGATTACAGACTGAAACTTCCTCAAACTGAGAGGGAAATAAACCTTTCCTTCCTTCACTTTGGGTGTTGGGTATTTTATCCTAGTAACAGGAGAAAAGCAATCAAGAGAGGAAGGCTCCAGGCATGGGCACACCCCTTCCCGTGGACATTATTATGGCTGTTGCTGTTATATATCAGGGACCGAATTCTGAGCCTCCGTAGATGCCGTACCAGCCCACGCCCGCGTGTAGCCTTGAATTTTTTGCCTTTTGTTTTTCAAGACAGGGTCTTGCTAAGTCCCCCACGCTAGGCTTGAACCTGTGGTCCTTCTGCCTCAGCCTCTGAGTGCTAGGGTAATGGACTTGCGTCACCAGACTCAGAAAGCCTTAAGTTCTGAAGACAGTGTAATAAATATTTACAATTGTGCTCTTCCGCCAACTGCTCCAGGTATCACTGCTAGAGGAAGAGTCCACCGTGAGGACTGCGGGGCTGACCTGCCGAGCAGTCCCCCGTGCCTTGTCCTTCCCATCTGGGCACCAATCTCTAAGGCAAAGTAGGTCCCACCAGGGCTCGGGCATGTCCTGCCCTCCCCACCACAGCCCTGAGGGCTTGTCTATCCAAGCTGGTATTGTTAAAGGTGCCATCCATTGATTGGGTGGATGGAAAAGGACTCAGGGTGTCCCCACTGAGTGACTGGGTGGTGGCAATACCTGCCATTGGCCACCGCACCCCTGCTCCACTGCATGCGCACGTGGGTGGGAAGCCCATGGCTCCCGCAGGTCACTCTGGCCCGGCCACCAGCTGCTAAGGCGAGAGAGGACAGGATACTGCACATTTCCAGCCAAATGAGGGACTCTTGGCAAAGGGTCCAGCCTCAGTGGACTGGCAAAGATGGAACCCTTGATGACGGATGGAGTCGGCGAGGCTAGGGGGAAACAGCCTGCTGCTTAGCTGGCAGGATGGGCGCCATCTCTGTGGTGAGCACTCGGGTGATTTCTGCCCAAGCCCTAAACATACATGACCTTTGACTCAGTGTCTCAGCTTCTGTGCCATGTGAGCTACCTGCACAATGTCATGGATGACGGCGCTGTCACAGCGAAACAGGGCAAACGGTCAAGGTCTATTATAGAGGACTCACGCGATGCATGGTGGCCTAGCAAGCAGCAGAGTATTACGCAGCTGGTAAAAGTAACCAGGCCTCTCTCGCCCTGTGATCTGGGACTTACCTACTAGCAATGCTGACCAGTGAAAAACCAAGGTGCAAAACAATGTGTATAATAAGTTCTCATTTGCAGAAAAATAGGAGAATCATATGTAGAAGATACTGTTCAAAGAATACACAAACCTGATTAATATTGCTGGCCTCTGGGGAGGGGGAGTGGGGCTGGGATCACAAGAGAGGAAAATATCATTAGGGCATCTTGCATGGCATTTAAAACTGGAAACTTTGCTGGCCAGAGACAGAATTCAAATTTGTAAAACTAGCAACTCGCCAACAAATTCAAAGTAAAGGAACCTCCAAGCAGAGCTGGAGTTCATACCCTGAATCAGCACTTCCAGCTCCATGCAACCCGCTGTGCTGCTCTGGGCGCTGGTGCCCTGCCTCCCCTCCCCTTCCTGCCGGGGAGAAGGCCAGGCACAGAGCGAGCCTGGGGACTGCGCTCCTAGGGCCGGCAGCCACACTCACCTGCTCCTTCTCTGAATATGGGTTGTTGAGGATGACAGGTGCAGCGCCCTTCCCCTGCAGGTCATTGAAGACTCTGTCATTGTCCCCGCCAAGGGCCAGTGCTTTGTGCGACTTGCTGTCCAGGTCTCTGAAAGGGAAGGTGAGCAGGTGAGAAGGGCGACAGCAGGGTCAGGCCTTGATCTGGCCTCCTGATCTTGGCAGCTCACTCACCTACTGCTGCATAGCCAGTGAGCTCCAGCACCCAGCCTGCTGCTTCCTAAAGATGGCCCAGGGCAGCATGGCGAGGCATGAAAGAGCTCACCCAAGCTGGCCCTGCTGGCTGCCGCAGCCTCATCTCTGTAGGCTTTGTGTGGAGGCAGCCTCAACACGGATTGTACACACCCTGTCTCCTTTTCCGTTTCCCGGGCCTGGGATCACAGGATGGCTGGCTCGTGGAGGAATTCCATGCACCGTGAGCTCCTGAACAACTGGGAGCCCAGGACACTGAATGGTGGAAAAGGCAGCGGGTAGAAGGGGCAGGAAAGTCCAGTGGGCTGTGGGTCATTCTATCCTGACCAAGGCTCTGGGGTTTCTTTGAAAGGTACTGGCTCAGGATAAACAGAGTGATTCTGAAATTCAAGGGAACATAGCAACAATAATAATAACAACACTACTTATAAGGAAGGCTAGTGTTTGTTAAGTGCTTACTACATGCCGGGCATGCTATATGTGCTTTAATTCATTTGAACCTATGACCAGCTTATGGGACAGGAGTGATACTTTATTACAGTTTTACAGGGCTGGGGAGATAGCTCGCAGTGGTCTAAGTGCCGGCGTGGTAAGTATAAGGGCTCAAGTTTGATCCCTAGTACTGCATCCTGTGCTAACTCTGGAACCCTAGGTATACTGTGCTACTCTGAAACCAGCACTGGGGAGGCTGAGCCAGGAGGATCATTACGAGTCTGAACTGTGTAATGAGACCCTGTATCAAATCAATCAATAATTACAGTTCTACATGTATAGTAAGGGAGACAGAGAGAAGTTCGGGCACCCAGGGACTGTCAGTGGCGAAGCCCAGTATTTCAGCCTATTTGTTTTACATCTGTTCAGAAGTAGAGGCTTGCACTACTTGCTTATCACCATCCTCCTCGTCACCAATGCCACCGTTATTACTGCCATAGACATCGCCACCCACGTGTCCTTCTCCTGAGCAGAGCCATTACGGTCCGGTGGTCGCCATCACCACCATCGAAACCACCCTCACGCCGTCTCCGTCAGCTGCATCCCACCGTAATCCTCAGCATCACCACCAATGCCAAACTTCGTCATAGTCATCTTCACTCCCACCACCACCACTGTCACAGCTGCCCCTGGAGGAGAAGCTGAGGTTCAGCGAGGCCAAGTTCCTAGGTTAAGACCCAGCTAGTGGGGGAGGGTCCAAAACCCAGCGTTGCTCCTAACTCTAGAGCCTGACTTCTGAGCCCTGAAATTACTTTATGTCTTCGCAGGCCCAGCCAGGGTGAGGCCGGGCAAGACCGCCCATCAGTCCTGTGTCCCCTCGGCCCCTTCACCCAGTGAGTGTCACCCTCCTGCTTCCTGACCGTCTTTTCTCACCCTTCTTCCATCCATTTTACTCTGGGACATCTGGTACCCGCCCAACTTCCGGCAGCACAGCTTGCTCTGTGGCCCATAATGCTTTTTTTAAAAATGAATTTATTTTATTTTATTTTATTTATTGTGTGTGTGTGTGTGTGTGTGTGTGTGTGTGTGTGTGTGTGTGTGGCCAGCTCAGCCCTCCAGGGGGTGGGGCGGGCTGGCATGTGGTGCTGGGGGATTGAACCAGGGTCCCTGTGCTTTGCTGAGCTTGTTCTAAGTAGGTGCTTTAGACCACTGAGCCATCTCACCAGCCCCCATAATGCTTTGGGCCAGGCACTGGAGGCTGCCCCTGGACGAGCCCTTGTTCCACACTCTCAGTGCCGAGGCCGCCTCTGTCCCCAGTCTGCAGAGTCTCTGCAGCTGCCTCAGAGCCGAGCTGGCTCCTCTGCTCGGATAGGTTTGCACTTATCACAGGGAACATTCTGTTTTGCCCTCTTTAAAATGTCACCAGCTCATACTCGGAGTGGCTCTTGATTACAGGCCTTTCCCATGTCAGTGGTTTCTCTACACAGTGATTAAACAGGATTGTCTGGAGAGAGGACTGCTCCAAATGTCACCCTCAGCGTTGGAAACTCCTGCTGTGATGACACTACATGACCAGAAACAAGGACTCCACAGAGAAAGGAGGTGAATGTGTTTTGGGCATCGGTCACCAAATGAGGTACCTGCATGGGAATTATGTCACTTACTCCCAATAGGCGTTAGAAGCTGTATTTTTCAGATGAGAAAACCTGTCCCCCAAAGGTAATACAAGTTGCCGAGGTCCTACAGCAAGCGCCTAGTAGGGCTGAGATGAGAGCTAGGTCTGAAGGAGGGTAGGCCCAGTCTCCTCCTCCTCCTCCTCTTCTTCTTCCTCCTCCTCCTCCTCTTCTTCCTCCCTCTTCCTCTTCCTCCTCCTCCTTCCTCTTCCTCTTCATTTTTAGGATAGGCTTTACAGTGTGTACAGGGTCTCATTACAGAGATTGGACTCGTACTGATCCGCCTGTTTACAGCCTCCCAAGTGCTGGCATTATAGGTGCACGCCACCACGCCCAGTCTCAAT